TTAACTAAAATATTTCAGTAACACATTTTATGCGAAGTCGCAGTTTACCACACTTGTCTTCTCCGAATAAAAAAAGGATACAGCCCTTGACGTTGACCAAAGCCAGAGGGATGCGTCATACATTGGACTTTATTAGACATCGTTTGGAGATGATTGAATGCATATGTGGCCTTTACAATGACTCGCAGTGGCCTACCGATGTATGGAACCAGTGCTGCTATCCTTCTAGACAAGTCTGGTACCAATTTTCCAAACCCTGAGGGATAGAAGGCTTGGTCGGCCACTGGTGCCGGGATCGATCCCACATGTGTGCTGCAGGGCAACTCCCACCTCTGTGCCCCACACGCCTCTTCTCCGAATATAAGAGCGAGATTTTCAAAACCTCACCAAACTATATTACCAAGAGATTACTATTCAGAAGGCACTATGTTGCCTTATAATTCTTTGATTTCGCTTCGCTATTTATTTTTATTTATTTGATTGCTGAACAGAGAACAAAAGTGCTTAAGGACGGAGCTGTAAGGAAAAAGGGCAAACTTATTTGGAATCGCTATCTGGTGCGATTCCTTTCAGCAGTCCAAAGGTGAAATTAATGCACTACTTTGCTTTAAATAATTAAGTGTTTGTTTTAATAATGATTAGATAATTATTAAATAATGGATTAGAGGCCTTCACCTTCCGTATGGCTTTCGATTTAAGAGATCATCTGTTGGCACTTCAGTGGCCAAAGCCAGTGAGGCAAGAGTGTCCATGATCAGATTGATCCAGAGCATATGAACAGCCTAGAATAGATCACTGTAGAACAGAGAAAAATGCTGAGAAAAGCTGACGAGCGAGTTTTACAATGCCAACCAATGCCATAGAGATATGCTTGGACATTCGTGTCTATTTCTAAGACCACCAGCATAACATCCTTTGATTTTATATGCACAATTTGCTAAAGCCTCCTAATGAAACAATCACCGTGTTTCTTTTCCAAAATTTTATCTCGTAGATTTATCTACCTGAATCCAGTAATACTTGAAGGAGTTCCAAGGAACTAATAAGAAAAGTACGCATAAGTACACAAATGTCGCCCGCTTCCACTGCTTTACTCCTTTATAAGAAGAGAGTGTTGTGAAATGTAAAGGAAATTTTGGCATTAAAGGTAAAATCACTTAAAGTAATAAGAAAGTCTAAAAAATTACAAATATGACCGTGTTTTCTTTTTGAGCAAACATGAGGTCTCTTTTGCCTTGAGGCGCTTTGGGCAAATTTCAAAAATTCGAAAAAACCGCAGGAGCAGAATCTCATGGTCATTTGTGACTTCGTGAAATAACTCAGGCTAATTTTTTGACCTGAGTCGGGTACATCCCTCATCCATGTAATACTGGGTCTCCTCCAGATGATTGGAACACTTACAAAAAACGAAAGGATGAGTGTTTAAGAGAAGCCGTCTAATACACGACTGATGTTTAAGAATTGAGCCATTCTGTCTGGGTTATGAAAGTATTTGACTGAGTAGAATGCGTGACAATTTGACATCTCCATAATCTGCATCAGTCCTTGTGAATAAATAGTGTAATAACACTCTCGAGCCTGATCGAAAAGAAAACAACAACTTATTGAAGCTGAGATTGATAGAAAGTTGCTCCCGAGTTTCTTCTAATCTAAAAAAAGCGCTTTGTGGCCAAAATTTGGTAAGCATCTAAAAAATTTGCTTAAAATTGGTAGACTGCTTCTGAGATCATTTACTTTTACAGTAGTCTATAGGTTCTGGGCCCACCAGCAATGATTTAGCCATAATTTATTCACTTGTGGAAACGCAAAGAAAACTGCTGCCTTGAAATGAAATATTCGCTAGAACAATATCGTATTTTGAAGCATATATGGAGCACATAAAAAATGTAGCACAAATTTTGCGCTTCATAAAGCTGGTAATCGTCACGTTACCTTAAGTGGTGAATCGGATACAGTAACGGCGCCGACGAATGCAGTGAGGACAGCGACGATGTTAACGGTAAGTTGAAATTGTAGGAACTTCGAAATCGAATCGTATACATTTCGACCCCACATCACTGCCTAGAATGTGCTTGCTTAAAGTGAAAAA